TTTACCAGGGCATTCAGTCTGATGGTATTTCACTCTGCAACAGAATACCTTCCCCAGCCTGGATCTTATGGGTCGGATGCATTCTCATATTATATTTTATGATTCAACATATTCTGGTATTATTTCGACGGGTCAACAGCTAGATCTGGATCTTTTAAGACCATGACGGGACCGGGTGGCTCTGGGAAGTCAAATGGCTATAATGTTGTGAAAACTTCAACTTTGCCAATCAATTCGAAATTTCAACAGTCTTCGAAGTCTTTCTGTCAAAATCAGGGTTCAGGGTTCAGGGTTTCAAGGGTTTCAAGGGTTCAGGGTTCAGGGTTTAGGGTTTAGGGATTGGGGGCACTACATGTCCTGGGGGCATTTTTAGTGGATACTGTTTTTCAGGTTTTTGGGTAAATAGAATTGACTATGAATTTGGAAAGAATATATAAATTTTTAAATCTAGTGAAAATATCTCTTAAATCATATATCCAATCTCAAGTTTCTAGAATTTTATTATGAGAAATTATATATTGTTTTTTAAACATAATAAAAAGAAAAAATATCATATTTAAGAGGTTAGTGTCTATGAGATGCTACCAATTAACCATAAAATAAGATGTTAAAAAATAATTGACGGAAACTACACGTATATAATTTTCTTTTGGTTTATCTTTATTTAAGATCCACGAACAAATCAAACAAAATGTAATGTTTTATTCATAAAAAACCTATCACATTTATTGGGAATCAAAATAATTTAATTAACATCACACATATCTTGCATCGTCAAAGATATCATGCCAAAAAATATGTGATATACATATAAGTTAAAAATTCAAAAACATTTAGATGTCCAAAAAAGACATTCAAAAAATCCGTAATGGATATCATGATATCATGCCAAGTTATAATAAAATGAAGGGAGTAATTTTTAGAAAAATTAACTTCGCAAATTTAAGGTCAAGAATTTTTTAAAAAAATGATAACAATTTTCCTTTATTAAGAACTTTATGGTTTAGATTAAGTTTTCTTAAACCAAAACGATTTTTGTTCCACAAGTGTAGTTTGTAGAAATGATATGTTAAAACATGTTTGGTTTTGATATCTCGTGGATTTTTGTTGCAAGTATTTTTCCCCTACGAAAGCTAATTCGAGTTATTATATTATGATAGTTTATTCTATTAAAATATGATATGATGTAGATAACTTTTTCCTTAAAAAAATCATATAAAACTATTTATTTTATTTTTTTCAATCTCATTAATTTCTTTTTAAATATGATATGACAAGATTTAAAAAATAAATATAAATACAAATAAAACAACCCATTAATTACACATATAAACTTTACAATAATATAAATAATGTTGATGGGAAAGAGGATAAAATATTTTTTAAATCAGTCCATTTCCTTAAATAAAATCAACTCAATACAATGATAAAATATGGTTAATGAAAGTGGCGAAAAGAATATGAATAATATTTCTTAAAGCATATCCGGATTTTTCAAAAATAAACCCGGCTAGTATTTATTTAAACAAATGATATCCTAATATAGTAAAAAAGTTTTTTGGCGGAAAATAGTTACTATTTTAAAAATAATCAAACCTTTTTATATATATATATAGATTTTTTGGTTGTCAATAATAGGGTAGTTTATTTATTTAGAAAAAAAATAAGTGGACTAAAAAAAAAAAAACAAGGGGTGGACAAAATTAAAAAGAACGTATTTTCAGAAAATGTTTTTTTAATACAATTTTATTAGAAAAATATATTTCCGCAATACGTTTTAAAATTATATTTATAAAATAAAAAAAATATATTTCCGTTTAAAAAAGTGAAATTAAATAAAAAATAATTTTTTAGGTTTTGAAAAACGTATTTTCAAAATATGTTTTTTATTTCTATAATTAATTTAAAAAAAATCTTTTAAAACGCATAACCGGAATACGTTTTTAATTTACTCAAAACACGTTCATTAACAAATGCGTTTTAATAAAACACATCATTCGTTTTAATAAAAAAGAAAAGGAAAACGTATAATGAAAATACGTTTTACAATTAAGTAGTAGTAAAACGTATTCTGATATAAAATTATAAATTATTAGTTGAATTTACTGAAAAAAATAATTTTCGTATTTTTAATGAATATTAGTACTAAAAAATATGATGATCATAAAAACCAATGTTATCAAAACCGGACCGGACCGGCCGGTTCAACCGGGAACCGATCAAGCTAATAACCGGCTGCACCGGTTCAAAATCAGAATAACCGCCGAACCGGAGCCGGTCCAAGCGGCTCAGCGGTCTGGACTGGCTTGTGGCTGTACTCAGATTATCTTGTGTAATCACTTAAATACTTGGATTCCTTTGCTTTCTTTTCCTATGTGGGATGTTGCCATTTATGATTGCTGAAATTGGGCCATAGTGGGCCTTATATGCAAGTAAATAATTGTATCTTGACCATACATTGCAAAAAGAATGGGTTGTTGGGCAAAAGGTATAAAGCCAATACAAATTATTGTTTCTCATGCCCAAAAAAGTTTATTTATTAAAAAAATGTCATTATATAAAATTATACACTATAAAATGTCATTATACACTATAAATGTCATTATTTTTGTTCTCATTATTTTTTTCTTTATATTGTTTCTCATGCCCAAAAAAGTTTATTTTTCAAAAAAATGTCATTATATAAAATTATAACATTGTTTATTTATTTAAAAAAATGTCATTATGGACTATAAAATTAATGATAAAAATATATAAAATTATATATTGTATATATAAAATAAAAAAAATTATATATTAATTAAACTGGTTCGATCGGTTCGGCCACTGGTCCGACCAGTGAACCATTGAACCGGTAGCTTCACCGGTTCGATGACCGGTCCAGTTTTGATAACATTGATAAAAACACTATTTATAATAGAATGTTGATATTTACACTCTTAGATAAAACACAGATCATCCTCAATTACACCAGTGTCAAATACTTTGGACTCCAAAAATTATTAATTTAAGTAACCAAAATCTTACAGTGAAGCATTAATTTCAGAATGCTAGGTAAATTAGTGAAATAAAGACATTCCTTATCCCTTCTGAAAAACTGTTTACATTAATGCTTACGTCTGATATTAAGACGAAATGACTTGTTTAGTTTCCAATTTTACCCCATCTAATATTCCTATTTAATTTTTTTATATTAAATTTATTTTACTTTAACCGACCCATCTTAACCGTCCCACCTTTATTTCTTATTTTCTTCTCTCTTTTTTTCCCCCACAATCTCTCTCTCCCTGTTTCTTCTTATTTCCTTCTTCTTTCTTCTTCTTCTTTCCTTGCACAGCAATATTTCTCCATTTTTGTTTTCTCTCCTCTTTTTTTTTTTTTTCCTTCTTCTTCTTCTTCTAAATTCACGCGATACACTCTTTAAAAACAAAATTTTTTTATTATTGTTCTTTTTTTTTTGTTATCATTGTTCTTCGCAACAATAAAAGTAGGGTTGTTGTAGATCTATTATATCTCTTTCTCATGAATTTAAGGTTGAAATTCAAAAAATGAAAGCATCTTTTACTACTAAGGTTGGAGCCGCTCCCGACTCACGATCGCTGTGGAGGGCATAAAGCCTCAGCCTAAGCTGCGAACTTGAGAAGGAGATGATAGAGTGATTTGCAGAAGATGAAGAGGAACAATTCTAAGAGAGAAGAAATGGAATATTCTAAGAGAATAAAGCAAAATTTTTTTTGTAATGATGTATAATTTTATATAATTCATGTAGTATTCAGAGATAAATTGTGGTCTTGTAGTTTCTGTACAATTCTTTGAACTTTAAATGAAAACACTAGATTGATTTGTGTTATTGATTTGTAGGTGATTTTTTTTTTTTCTTTTATTATGTCTTGCAGTTGTTAAACTTTAAATGAAAACACAGATTGGTTTGTGTTGTTGATTTTGTAGGTGATTTTTTTTTTTTAATATGTTGCAGCTGTAATGTTATTTTAAAGTTAATCTTTTATTGCTTTTGAGTTATTTTAAAGTTACTCTTTTGTTGCTTTTGAACATTTCATGTAATTAATTTAGTTTGAATCTCTTATTCATAGTCATGATGACGCATACTTGCTTATTCAAAATGTAAAATTGATGTAAGCCAAAATTATGAAAAACTCTCAACATATATACATTAAATAACATTAACCCAGCCACATAAAGAAAAAAAAATTAACACATCCAAGATCATCAAGCAACATAAAAATAACCAGGATAAAAGGAAAAAAATGCTATAATATCCAAGATCAAATATAAAAAAGATATTTTTTTTATTTTTTCAAGGATTACGAAAAAAAAAATACAAAAAAAACAGATAAGTTGATTTTTTTTTTTTGGTACAACAGATAAGTTGATTTTAAACTTCAAATCCACGCGTGTGGATTAATTTATATTTATGTTGATAGACAATTTGTTTTAATGAATGAGTCAATATTTTTGCAACTAATTGAGTTTAAAATAAATAGGAAACTGAGGTATTTGACTTTGCCACATTTCAATACTGTATTTTATTTGGTCTTTAAGAAGGTAGGGTGAGTTATTAATTCTCGTACATCTCAAACGTTAATATTGCGGTTAATACTTTTGGGAGAGTTTGAAACGTTTCAAATTTATTTGTTTTTCAAGTTTAAATTTTGTATTTATTTTCCTTTTTCAATTTTTCCTATTTTCCTATTTCTGTCCAATTTAGGAGTATATGTGGAATTGTGTATGTCTGGTCCTTATTGTGGAATCGTTTTCTTAGAGTGAGACAGTTATAAAATTTTCCCTAAATTAGTATTAAATTTTAAGTTACTTTGCATTAGACTCCAAATAATGGGCTATGAGGTGCCCGAATGCGAGAAAGCCCAACTAAACTAGGGTTTAGTTCCTTCTCTCTCCCCTATAAATGCTCTCAGTGGCAGCCATAACCCTCCCACTTCTCTCTCTCATACACACGACGTCCTCCTGAGCCAAAACCCCAGATGGGATCCACCCTCTCCAGCTTAATCGGCAACGGCCATGGAATCAACCAACGGCGAGTCATCTGGACCTTCGCTCGTCCAGGCCTTCCACTCGTCTCCACGCTGGCGGCTCCATTACGAGTCCACCAAGCAATTGATGTGGGCCGCAACTCGCTTTCGACCGCAACTCGGCAACTGGTAAGATCCCTTTAATCTGCTTCCCAGCTCGCATCCAATTTAAAAACCCGAACACTATAATCATTGATGCTTTTCGGGCTCAATTCCGAGGTCATCATCAATTCAGGCCTAAATTTGCTGTTAGCGAAGGCTAACTCGTATTTTATCGGTTTTTTTTGGCCCTGTCAGTTTTTCCCGATCTTATTGCTGTTTTTTTGTTCTGTAATTTTTTATTTCTTATTTTTCCTCCGTAGATGGTGGTGGGTTTCTCGGCCACATGGTGTGGACCGTGCAAGATGATGGAACTGCCGCCATTCCCACTGCGCTCAACCACGTCACTAACCTGATCAACGGCATCGCGAAGGGTAGACGCTACGCCTCCATCTCCGGTGGAGGAAAGACTATCGAGATCTGTAACTTCCTTGGGGAGAAGAGGGTATGAGGAATTTATGGCAGTTCTTTTTGTGCATTTAGGGTTTAGGACTTTAAGACTTTACCTGATGTTGTGTGGTAGGTATTCCTGTCTGTTTGTTTTGGGATGTTATTCTTCTATGAATGGTAGTAAAGAATTCCATGCCCTTTATTGGATTTTTCAAAAGAAACACATAAGAAGAGATTGTGTGAATTATGCACTGCAGCAGAGTAGGTACTTTCAAGCTTCTGCAGGAATAGTGCTTGTACCGCTCCTTATATTGACTGGTATTCTCCTATGAGTGGTAGTAAAGAATTCCATGTTCTTTATTGATTTTTTCAAAAGAAACACAGAAGAAGAGTTTGTATGAATTATGCAGTTGAGTCACTGCAACAGAAATTATAAGTTGTTGAGAATCAGAAGCTAGTAGCTCCTGGTACGAATTTCAATGTACAGAGTTCAGTAAATAAGTTACACATTGCTTAATTGTCTATACAAGTCGAACTAGAATTGTCCTGAGCCAAACCAATGGTTGAAATTTTTAAAATATTATTTTTTGTGGTCTAATCCAGTGAGAAGCTCATGATCAGTTGCAAAATTACTCCATTATTTAATCAGATTTGGATATATCCCTTCAGCAATCTAATGTGTTATTGACTTTATCCTTTTATTTCAGTACATGTAGAGAAAGATAAGCACCAGGGGTGTATGATTTAGTTGCTGTCTTAACTCACAAGGGTTGAAGTGGCGATTCTGGGCATCATGTCGCCTGGGTGAAGCAAGAAAACGGCCAGTCTTCTCCTACTTTTTTGTATAAAGTAGCAATTTTCGGTTGAGAGAAAGTGAGAGAGGAGAGATGGCCTTGAAAAACCCTAATTATTCTTCCGGCTCTTTCAGAGCGAGAAAGTGAGAGAATGGAGAGGAGAGATGGTATCCGTGTCAGGGATCTGCGGCAAAAGAGTGTTGGGGGATGCGAGACACCACATGCTTGGCTGCTTGGCTTCCATTTTGGCTAAAGAGCTCTTGAACGGCCAGAAGTTTGGGGTCATCCGATGTGAGGAAATCTGCCTTTCCAGTGGTCTGATGCGCCAGAAGATGAAGCCCCTTCAAAGATCTTGTGGAGAACTGTTCGTGGGTATGATTTCATTCCTAGTTTTTGTTATTTTTTTTCCTTAATGTCGTTACTGAAATTAAATGCCTTTAGATTATGTTGGTTTTACGCTTTGACCCCATTGGTTAATGCACAGCCTTACTTGGTTCTGATTATGAAACTAAACTTCTGATGTTTGCATCTCAGTTTTTTGCTTGTTGATGGTTTAACAAATCGTATTTGTATGTTAGAAATGGATTTTTGGCACTTGAAATTGAGTTGTATATTCAACAGTATTTATCCAAACTTTTATATTTATTTATTTGTAATGCTTCCATTAACTGTTTTAATCGCTGATGTGTATGTCTTGTTTTCATTAGTTCTCTATATAGATTAAGAGGTAAAAAACATGTTTCCATGATATATTTTGTTTCAGCAAGACTCACATATTTTTTGCATGAGCTTCACTGGAACTGGAATGATGTTTCTACATTTGCATTTTTTTTGACTCAGTCTGCCCTTTACGTTTTTCAGCATCATTTGGCATCTAAATTCTCCATTCCATATATTTATTCTTGTTAATATCCCAAAAATATCATACTGGTTGTCTTGAAAAATAGACAATGATTGAGATGTTAGAATTGGTAATTTTTCAGAATATTTGTATAGTTTTGAATAAATAAATATGGACAAAGCAAATCAGATACAAAAACTTGGAATGATGTTTTCTCGTTTTGCTTTATTGTCAGACTTGTCTTTCTTTACTTTCCAAATGTTGTCTGGCTTCTTAATTCTCCACCAGCATATTTGTTTTGTTTTTGTTAATAACTGAATATGAATTGTGATAGGTTTCGGGTTTCGGGGTTCGGGGTTCGGGGTTCGGGGTTCGG